ATCTTACCTGCAGGCAATGTAGTTTCTGAGGAGAAGTCTTTTTTTTTCAAGTGTTAAGCATCCCGCGAGGTGCAGTCAATTTTGACCCAAGGGACATGATTTGCATTACCATTGTAGAGGTCCATTTGACAATACTACATACCAAATATCTAAGCTCTAGGCGCTGCTGTTTCATAAAAGAAGACTTAAATGTGTTTTCCTATAAAAGTCCATAAAACTTAAGTGACCCCTAAGTAGGGGTCATTTTTGATCCAAGGGTCATGATTTATACAACTTTTGTAGAGAGCCACAATGTGATGCTACATGCCACCAGATATCTTAGCTCTGGGTATTGTAGTTTCTGGAGATAAAAAATTGTTTTTAAGATCTCTGTTTTTAGCTCCTGTGGCCTTCTTATGCATAAGACTGGAAGCATTTGTATATATAACTATCACAGAGGACCATTTAAGAATCATTACTGTAAAGTGTGGTCAAAATCCATCAAGTGCTCTAGAAAGTGATTTTGTTTAAATAAATTGGGGACGACGAGCGACGGACGACGGACACACTGCCATCATAAAAGCTCAAATCTGAGCACTTTGGCTAAGGCGAGCTAAAAACATTATCTGGCCATAAGAAACCTTATACAGCGTTCTACTTCATCAACAGATTTATCCCTCACAATTACACATTTGTTAGTGATGATGATGATGATCGTGTACCGATTTTTTTCATGAAACTTTATAAACATATGAGTAAATCATTCTATGTATTTTAGTAACAATTTACGTGCCAATTTCAAGTCTTACACGTATGCAAATTTAAGCAAATTAACCCGCCATTTAGTCTGATTAAAAACAAGAAAAAAAAAGAAAGACTTAAGGAAATACCAACCATAAATGGCTACCACCATTTCCCTTTCAGTCTAATTATAGTAACTAGTAAACTCGAAAAAAAAAAAAAAGCGCCCTTTAAACTTTTGCAAAATGGTATTTTTAATTTAAAAACTTTTTTTCATCACAATAGATAGAAAGACTTTTTAAATCAAGCATGTGTCATAAACTTCACACCATGATCGTTTTTTAATCATTTTTACTCCTCATTTCATATTCATTCAGGCACGTCACATACCCATAGAAAATAGCAATAAAATTTACCTTCAAACACGCGTACACGTTAATAAACCAACTTAAAATCCAACTTGAATTATGCAAAACAACACAGTGCTACGAATAATATTTCTGTTACTGTACAAACAACACATTTTATTCATTAATATACATTATTCGCCTAGTGTTTATGTTGCCAGGAAATTATTTTTTATTGAAAACGCACGTTTCTTATTGAACGGTATTTTGAAGCTCCGTTGAAAACCTTTGCAATGATACCTAAATCATCTCCTGTCTGCTTCATATTAGCTTAAAATGATCCTACATATTTTGCACAGGTGTGTACCTGTCCATCGACAAAAGAGATTACTAAATTAGATGTTTTGAAAGTCAAACAGATATAATCCACCTAAAATCTTAATGATCTTGCTGGTGCTATTAGATCTGTTATGAAAAAAGGGGTTACTAAAGTGGATATTGTGAACGTCAAATAGATATTTAAACCACCTAATATCTCAATGGTGTTTAAAACGTTTCCTGGTGATATTACATATGTAATGAGAAAAGTAGTAACTAAAGTAGATTTTTTAAAAGTCAAAAAGATATCGCCTCAGTGCTTTCTTCTTGGTGGTATTAGATCTTAAATGGAATTCTAGACTTATGTCGTTAAATAATTATTATATACCAAACTTCTTAAGCACTTTTTTCATGCACATTGACACGTTCAAAAGTACTGTACAATATAACCAAATAAATGATACAATACTTAAAAGAATCAAAACAACACCAATATTGCTCAAGTCACAGATTCAAATCAAATGTAGTTTTAAAAAGTTAAAAAGACCCATATAAATAATAAAATTCAGGTAAGAACCTAAAAAAATAATCAGTCCAAATAAAAACCTCTTAAATAAGTGTGTTTTAAGTGCCCTCTTAAACACTGTTAGAGTTTCACAGCTTTTAAGTGTTCTAGGTAGGGCATTCCAGAGTTTAGGGGCTGCCGTCATAAAATCACGATCACCATAAGTCACAGTCCTACTACGCGATACAACAAGTGCTAAGCAATCATTCTGGGACCTAAGTTGTCTGGATGGAGTATAAATGTCTAGCATGTTTCGTATGTACGTAGGTGCCTGTCCATGAAGCGCCTTAAACATATATTTGGAGCTTGTTGAGAACGTACTTTGGAGATCCATATAGCAACGAATTACAGTAATCTAATTTTGGTGTCACTAACGAGTTTATGAAGGTTTCCGAATTTGACCTATTTGTCGTATTTTCATGAAGCATGAACAAGAAACTGAGTTCACATGTTGTTCCATATCTAAATGAGAGTCCAATACGGCTCAGAGAATTCTTAACACGTTTTTTCACGAGTATTGACCTGTTCATAAGTTTCATGGCCCTTAATCATGGTTTATGAAATGCTTTAATAACATTTATAAATCGCTACAAGCATATGCTACACGTGTATAGCATAGAACTCGACTTTCTAGAACGATCGACCAGGCGGTATTATTTCCAAAATAGTAGACACAATAATCTGTTTCGGTCAAATTTGTTTTGAAATGGAAAAAAAAACGAATAACAAACTATTGTTATCATAATGAGTATTCAAATTGAACAATAATCAAGAGGTTTTATTTTTCAATATAGCAGTATTGCAGTGTTACAATGATTTCAGCTACGCCCCTTTCCAAATAGCTGCTAGTAAATAAGAGTTTACTGTACATTTATCACTTCTACAAATCCGCGGAGAGAATTTATCGGCTGTATTTTATATCCAAAACATGATATAATGATAAGATCAAAAAGGCCCTGGCATATAGAAACATTGAACCCACCTGCGCACATTACACTTACACCCCCTACCTCCATTTATATCACTTTACTATCTCGTAAAATCGTGTTTTTTTCACAACCTCGGATTTATATATTTATATGAAGAAAAAATATTGATATCTTTCCTGAATGTTTACTATGTGTCATAATGTGTTTATGTTCTTTCAGCTGTTAAGTGTACCATAGTCTATTTTCTTAAAACGGGTCATATCATATAAAAACCCCAAACGGTTATAGAGACAAAGGGAAAATAATAACCATTTATTTAACTATAATAATAAACAATAATAAACATTAAAAAATAAATAAAATAAACACCATTGTACGTCAATACTGAATATGAGACATATATACATAAATTTGTCAGACCATTGAATGTATATTATTGTACTTGAATGTCGAATGAGTAATTAGTGTTTTTGTTGTTGTTGTTTTTTTTGTTGTTGTTTTTTTTAATACTGTTTTATTCATTTACTTCTTATTTTAACATTACTATGCCTGTGTTATTTGTTTTTTTCCAATAATACGAATTAAGCCTTAGTTACTTTATTGTCTTCATTTCTACCATACAATACACAATTTGTTGGTTGATATATTTTGTTTCATGCCTTGTGTTTTATGCTTGTGATTATATATGTCATATAGTATGACCCTTGATTGGTGAAATAGAATTATTCTATTCTATTCTATTCTATTCTATATACATTGTATTACCCGTGTCGACTATATATGCTATTGAAATATATGTATTTCATTAAAAAGTATTTAGTTTTTTTTTTTCAACAGTTAAAAAGTTTCAATAGAAGAATACGGGGTTCATGGATTCTTTATTATTACAATTTCCTGTTTATTGTTTATTACCTATTTATATACCTCAAAGAAGGTTGTTCAGCCGAAATGTTGCTATATTAAAGTGAATTTTGAGAATTTGCCGTTGACTACTTATTTTTTACTATTTGAATCAAGTCAAACACATAACAGTCAGATAGTTTGGGTTGTTTTAAACTGATTTTTCACCAGCAAAATATTTCTGCAGAAGGATAGGGTGTTCATGGATCCTGTATCATGACAAAACTAATACTTCTCACAATTTAATTATCGTCTCCATAAATTATTTGAAAATGTTAAAGTGCATTAAGCTACATGTAATGAAACATTTTGTAAAATTTTTAAAACCAGTAAAATTATTTTGTTTTCATGACGAACTAAAAGATTTGTAACAATAAATGTCTATGTAGTTTAGTAGACATGAATATTGTACATAAACATAATAAAATGTTGCAGAAACAAAATATTCTGTTGCTAACTGTAAGGTATGGTGATGATTTTACACTTGCATCACTCGATAGCACTTTAATAATACAGACAAATTTCTTTTATTCTAGGTATTCTGTATTAATTTTAATCAAAATATAAACACTATTTTTTTTAATCCACAGACAGCACATTTTTAAAAATTAAGTTTTTAACTGACATTTATCTATAATATAGTTCTCAAAATACTTCAGTACAAATATATGATATAAGCTTTGCATTCATACGGTCTAAATTGGTGGATAAGATAAAAATAAATATCTTTATGATCAAATAATCAAAACAATTAGTTTATGCAACAATAAGAAGCAATAAAGATATTTTAAGATCCTGGCAGCTGTGATTAGAAAATCGCTCATGAAGCTATAAAAATGATGAGATTTTGAAATATTCAGAATGCCATTAAAATTATGAAATGTAATGTTTCAATTTATATCTGGATGAAAAATGTCTATAAAAGCCTTCATTTATAATTCATAGGCACAATATCATTTTTCAGTAAAAATAATCAAACAATAATAGCGCTCAAATTACAGCATGACATTAAATACTCTTGGTAATAAACGAGAAACAATAAATATTTACATATTTTAACACCGAAACATCACACAAAACAAGTATTGAATAAATGCTTACCTGGAAATTTCCAACATCTCATAGAATTAAAAACTTGTTCGATAAAACGTGAGTTAAAGTGACATAATTATCAGATGATGCGAGAAGAGAGAAAAGGAAAAATCGACATATTGGACTTACCTGATATTAAAATTACAATTTCCCGTAGAGCCATCAGTAGATTGAGTTGCCATGGCAACGGAACAGAGCACAACTATAATGCAATGAATCCAACTGATTAAAAATACATGATACACAGTTGACGACGTCATTGCAACGTAATGTCTGTGTCTAGTAAAGGCTGCCATTCTGTTTAAATGATGAAAAAGAAACAATGTGAAAAAAGCATATGTTAATATTTAATTACATTGATGATTTGCGACACTTTATTAAATCAATTGATCGCACAATTATTAGAAATATTCTATCAACGTTATTAACATGTAGTTTTTTTCGTATATTTTTTTTAAGAAAAATGTTTGTTTCGTATTAAATGAACTCTATTAGGACTAATAACATAAAATTTGAATTTCTTAGGATACACCAGTTGGGTACTTAAAACAGAAATATATAATAGAGATAATTAAGAAATATACTCAGAAATAAATTGAAACAATTTGTTCATTTTTCATAGTTAGAAAAAAATATTCTGAAAAAAAAAACACAACAAAAACGTGTGTCCATATTTATTGTCACTTTTTTAAATACATAGAGTTTTTCACATGAGCGCATAGTGGCCAGAAACAACACTACTTTGAAAATGCTATAATCATATTATGAAACTCAGGCTGTGTACCGGAAATATTGTTTATATTTAATTAGGGCGGATATTTCACATTGCAGCTGAGTCTGATTAATTGTATTAAACGCCCTGCTATTTTTACATTATAATTCTATTACTAATTGCAATATTTGTTTTGATATATCAATTCATATTGACACAATGCTAAATATAATTTGCCACGAGCTTGTATAAATATGAGCCGCGTCACGACAAAACCAACATAGTGGGTTTGGGCGAACCAGCATGGATCCAGACCAGCCCTGCGCATCCGCGCAGTCTGATCAGGATCTCATGCTGTTCGCTAATCAGTTTTCTCTACTTGTAATAGGGTTTGTAAGCGAACAGCATGGATCCTGATCAGACTGCGCGGATGCGCAGGCTGGTCTGGATCCATGCTGGTCGCAGACGCATTACGTTGGTTTTGTCATGACGCGGCTTATATTATAGATGGATTGAATAAAAATATAAGCGTAGATCTGTATTCAGCCAAAGGCTCTCGTCAAGGACCTGGGATACATCATTTATGAAACAACAAGATGGACGGATCCAGAAGATTTTTTATTGACGTATGAATTCTCAGGGTCCCGTTTTTTTTCAAAATTTAAAACCAAAATTTTTAAAAAAGTAAATGAAAATTTTTGATTTTCTATAGTAAGGGGGATGAGTTTAAAAAAAAATTGTGAATTAATGTTTAGATAAAGTCACCATAACGGGGGTATTTATAAAACATTGGGTTTTTAATTTAATAAAAATTGACCTGCCGACCTTCCAACAATTTTAAAGACAAAATTTTTGTTTGAAATACTTCAGTCTTAAAGTTACAAACACTAAAACCCGGGCAGAATGTAGAAAATTTTAAATTTTCTCATCCCTTTTTTTTCATTTTTACCCCTAAAAAAATTGGGTGCTTTCAGTTACATAAATACATTACTTTCTCGTAGGCAAACGATTTTTTACCAATTTCAAACTCCAAAAAAAACAAAAAATACTTCCCTTGTTGTGTAAAAAGTAAAAATAGAAATTTTTATCCTCTTAATTAATTAAATTTTAAAAAAGGGGCGAAGGAAAATGTTTTTAAAATTAATGTAACCCCCAAATATCAGTTTTTAATTTCATTTGAAAATTTTTAAAACCAAATTCCCTTTAAAAATTTGGGCCCAAAAAAATTTCTTCCCGCTATTATTTGGGTTTATTTTGAGAAAAAACAATCGTAGATTTTTACTTTGGGCAAAAACCCTTCAATTTAACTCTCAATTGCCCCTTTTTAATAAGATTCTTTACCATTTAGTTTACACACTAAGTTTAAGTTTCATTCATTTCCCTTTTTGGTTTATTTAAATTTAAAAACAGGGTCAACAATATGAAACCAAAAGGGGGACCCAAACTTTAAAAACTGATAAAAAAACCTAAAGAAACCAAAGAAAAAATTTTTTTTTCACCTTGCCGGGGTGCAACCGTGGCCTTCCTTAGCTAGTTTTCATGCTTTTCTTTCATTAAAACGAATATTCTGGCACGCTTTTTTTTTTTGATAATAAACTCTTGAAAAAGCTTTCTATTTGCTTTTTTTAAAAAAGGGAAGACTGGATCAAAGGATTTTTTTTTCCCATTTTTAAAGGAAGACTTTGGGATTAACATCGGGAAAGATTTTTTTGCTAAATGGGAAACCCGTCTTTGCTTTTTTTTTCTGTAATTTTTCAAAAAAGATTTAAAGGGTTTTTAAAAAATAAAAAAAAACCTTTTTTTTATTGACGGAAAAAATTTTTAAATTTTGACAAAAAAGGGCAGACAAGAAAATAAAATTTGAAATTTTCTTTAAAAAAGGTCATAGAAAAAAATATTTAAAATACACATGAAACTATTTTATGAGTTCATATTTTCAGAAAATTTTTAGAATATTTTCGGGATAAATAAATTAAAAAGATATAATAAGTTAGATAAAAGATATAATACGTATTTTCCGTAAAAAAGTTTTCAAATGATAACAAATTAACTACATTATAAATTTTACCATTTTTCAAGTTCATTTTTTTTAAAAAATTCTTTAAAGAGATTTTTTCCAATTTAAAGTTGCCAAATGAAAGCGGGACAAAAACATTTTTTTAAAACACCATTTAAAGTCTAAAAAAAGGGAATTTTGATAAAATTCTGTGCTATGAAAAAATTTTTTTGTTTTTTTGTTGTTTTTTTTTCAAAAAATTTTTCTTTCAAAACAAAAAGTTTTAACTTTCAATAATATTACTGTTTTTTAATAGATATTAAAATGTTTTTTAAATAGGTACAACCCTTCCCATAAGGGAAAAAAGCCCATAGAAGATTGTTTTCAAACATTCTTATTAAATAAATTACTTTTTAGTTGTTTCCCCTATAGACAAAGGGAGGGAAAAAAACACTTAAAATTCCCTTTCTTCATTTTACTAAAAAAATTTTGTGTAAATTTCATGTTAAACGAAAAATCCCATATTTCTACTGTCTTCATTCCAAAATAATTTATTAAACGTAGATTTTGCTTATCGTTTAAGCATGATCAGGATAAAAAGACTGATATCTTATAGATCTTTCTAGCTTGTAGCGTTTTGTAATTAGGGTTTACATAATGATATCATACAAGTTTTATCTCTATTTTAGCTATGATTCTCCGACTCATTATTTTTCAAGCGGGACAGGTAGATTTAATGCTCAACGTTCTAAAACATGATTAAATTCCTTTGCAGTAAGCAGGTAAGTACATTCATCGAATTCATTTAAATACATTTACTTATCAGCCATTAAACATACGGACGCCAGTAAACGAATATACTCTATCGATAATGGACAGATATAAAAGGGTAAAGGCTTGAATAAACGAATGAACAAATGAAAAAGATAAACAAATAAAAAAATGTAAAGAAGCTGCAAAATTTCAATACAATACAGAATAAACCCCATTGCACGTCTTACAAAAATATTAAAAGAAAAGACTGATAAAAAAAGAAATAAAAAACCGGGGAAATGTTCAACAATGTTTTAAGATATGAAGATGAATCTTTATTTCATGCTGAGAAATTTAATGGTACAGTGAAACAAAAAACAGACTGTTTAAAATCATTTTTTATTTTTATATTCTCTATAAAACTCTTAACATGAATCATTCCGCGCCTATATGTTAACGGGAATTCCTTAAAAAATAGTTTTTCTTGACAGTTATTTGGCCTAGCAATTTGTTGAAAACGAAAAACAGTCTTGAACTGAAAGCTTCCAACTCATTCCAAATGATCTCTGGCCGCCAACATATAAATGTTTTTTTTCAATACATACAAACAAACACCGAGAAGTCGTAGAGAAAAAAAGCGGATCACGGAGTATCGTTATCTCCCGTGCTAACAGTAAACACCGAATTGAACAGTTCAGGGAAGCACGTGTAAACAGATATAAATAAAGATAACATAATAATCAATTATCACGTACCTGAATAAAAAAACAGGAATTTTCAATCACTATAATCAGATAACAAGATAATTTTGATAGCATCTTACTAGAAACATGTTTCCTCATACTATATTTTCGCTGTTTACGAGATAACCGTTATATTTTAAAGCCGTCTCCAGAAACAATGTGAGCGACTCCGATCTTTTTACCTGACCTGACCTAACCTAACGTAACCCCCACAGACGCTAAAAAGTGACAATGAAAGAATGGCGATATGTTACGACGTTATTGTGACTGGATTAAAAATCAAACAAAAAAGCAAACACAGTCTCTACGTTCTGTATCCTGTAACACTTATTTTCTTAAACTGTAATTTTTGAGACCAGTGTAAAGACGTACATAAATTATTCAATTCAATTTGTACCAGATTCAAAAAATTTAAATCAAATTGTATGAGTACTTTTAGTTCTGTGGCAATAATTATTAAGAACTAATTACATAAACAGCGTTAATGTGACATTATGGGCAAGCCTCGTTTCCGCTCAGTGGGCGGGTACCCTCGGCATGGATCTTCAAATCAACAAATGACATATTATTTTCCAAAAGTTTTATTCTACGTTCATTTTGTTCCGAGTCCAAAATCCAATCAAATCATAACTATTGTATTCCATTAGCCTAGTTCTTCATGTTTGCGCGTCAAAACATCAATATAAAATAGATATTGAAACAACAGGGTCTGTCAAAATGTCAAAAAATATAGAGATCATTGTACATATTGCTGAATGCAGAAAATATTCTACTAGCTGCTTGTACCCATATCAGCCTTGGCTTCGGCGTCGCGTACAATATAAGTTTTGACATATGTGTACTCGTTCCCAATAAAATTTAAATTCGGTTTATTCTCAAAAACGTTAAATAACCTCATAATATCTTAATAACTTACATATGAAAGTAACAAAAACATAATGCCTCTATCTACTGAAATGTATGAAATAAATAAAAATGGTATAACCATAACACGAACAATACAATACAATACAATACAATACAGCGTTATAACAACTTCAATTTCTAATACAATATCTATTAAATCAGGTATAAGAACA